CTATTTACTTAGCCTACAGCTTTAGCCTCAGGAACAGGCTTCAAGTTTCCCACACATCAAGAGGCTAAGGAGGCACTCCAAGGAACAAAAGCAGGAAAACATCATCCTTGCACACCCCCTTGGCCTCACTACAGCTGGATTAGACTGCCCAGGGAAGATCTTATACACTCATCTGGAACTCAGATTTTTGCAACTCACACCCAGGAGAAACCTCCAGATCTGGTCTAGAGACCAGCAGTGATTACAAATGTGACCCCACAGGACTAAATATATTTGCACACTTTCAAAGCTGTGGCCTGAAGGTCTGGCTTCTAATCAGACTGAAACTAGGTGCTAAATGAGTTTCCTCCCCTTGAATCACGGACAGGCCTTGGCAAGCCCTCAAAAAAGGCTGCATATCAATAATAAATCAGACAGCTGAGATAATCACAAAGGTTTGAAAGACAACCAAGAGCTAGGACAAGGCTGAACTAGAGATTCATCACCTATTCAAGGCCGCTCTTTGAAGACTGAGAAAAGTACCTGCATTTCACCTAATACATAGAAAAAACAGAGCCAAGACAAATTAGGAAACAGAAGAAACAAAACAAACAAACAAAAAGACAAAACCTCAGAAAATGATATGGAGATAAAAACCTAATTTAAAAAATTCAAATTAATGGTCATAAAGATGCTCACTGAACTCAGGAAAAGAATGGATAAACACAGAACCTCAGTAAAGAGATACAACACATAACAAAGTATGTTATTGACAGATCCAGCATGAATATTTTAAGGACAAAGCTGAAATGAATATCATTAACCAACTAAATATGACTGACATCTATAGAATACTTCAACAACAGCAGAATATACAAGTTCACACAAAACATTCACCAAGATAGACCACATTCTGAGCCGTAAGATACCTTAAATTAAAAAGAATGCACTCTCAGACTCATAAATACATAGGTCAAAGTCTTTCGGGAAGTTTAAAAATATTTTGAAGTGAAAATTAAAACACAAATTATCAAAATTTATAGGATGCACCAAATGCAGTGCTTAGAGGAAAATTTACAGCACTGAATGTATGTATTAGAAGATAGATCTAAAAATCAATAATCAAGGCTTCCACCATAGGAAATTAGGAAAAGAACTAAAACCAAAGGAAGTAAAAAATTAAAATTAAAACAGAAATCAATGAAGTTAAAAACAAAACCAAAATCAGCAGAGGAAAAAAAAGTTGGTCTTTTTAAAATATCAATAAAATTGATAAGCCTCTGGCTAGGTTAAAAAAAAAAAAAAAAACGACAAATTATTATCAGAATGGAAAGAAGGCCATCAATTCTGATCGCATGGACATTAAAGGGGTAATAAAGGAATATTATAAACAATCTATATCCACAAATTTAATCACCTAGAAAAGTGGCCCAATTCTTTGAAAGACACAATCTGCCAAAACTCACACAAGAAGAAATAAACAATCTGAATAAACCCATATCTAATATAAAAATTGAATCAATTAATAATCTTCCAAAACAGAGAACACCAGGACCAAATAGGTTCACTAGTGAATTCTATCAGATATATAAGGAAGAAATTATACCAATTCTCCACAATCTCTTCCAGAAAACAGAAATCATTTCTTCTGACTCATTATGAGGCTTTCATTAGAATAAATCAAGACCAGATGATGCTATTACAAAAAATACAGACTGATATCTCTCATGAACATAGACACAAAAATCCTCAACAAAGACTAGCAAATCAAATCTAACAATGTATAAAAAGAATTATATTCCACAACAAAATGGGATTTATTTTAGGTATGCAATGCTGAGTTCAATATTCAAAGATTAATATAATCCATCACAATCAATAAGATTAAAAAAAAACCACTTATTGTGGTATTATTTATGGAGGCAAAAATCCTAGATACAACCTGATATCCATTAATAGGGGAAAAGTTTGAAAATATTATGGTAAAGCCATATCAAAGTACTATGGAGCTATTAAAAACAGTGTCATTTTGTACTCATTTTGGAAGATGCTTATGGTTACACATAAGAAAACTGAATATTGTATATGATATTATTTTTATGAAAAGGAAACAAAAATTCTGTGATTATGAATATATGTTTGATAGATCATTATAAGTTCAGAGAAAGTCTAAAAGCATAACCAAAATGTTACCAGTGGTAACAGCCAGGAGATAGAACTAAGCGAGGGTAGAGAAGGAAGACGGAAAAGTTAGCTTTTCCTTTGTGCACCTTTGTGTGGTTTGACTCGAATCAATCGCGGGTGGCTTTAGAAGACTGAAAGAGTCCAAGAAGCAAAAACATCCCATCTAGAGTGAACCCTCCTATTATTCTCACTTTGAAGTTGCTCACATCAAGGCCTAATCTGCCTGCATTGTCCATAATTCTGGTTACTACTTCAACCTGAAATCATCTAATACATTGTTAGTGGCTGATCAGGAACCTAACTATCTAGAATAGTTATCCTGATTTTCATTATTAACATATTGCATGACATTTTGGAAACTTTTGAATCAGATCAAGAAAATGTGCTAAAAATTCCACAAACTTAAAATATAGACATATACCTTTTTTCTTCAGAAGAGTTCATATTTTCTCCATAAAGTAGTAAGGTAAGTCCTTCTTCTACAGATGCAATTCTTGCCAAAATATCAGCTATGTGAATTAAAGCTGTTTCAGAGCAATTTGGAGCAGTCTGTACATTAAAAAGATAACAAATCATATAATTTTATGACATGCTAACATTTCACAGACTAAAATTTAAGGGTGGTAGTGTAGTCTAACAAAGTTATATTACCACAATAAAAAGAAAGTTAATGACTGTTTGGCTATGAAGTATGTCTGAATTAAATGTGCCACTATATTACATTCACTTACCAGCACAGTTGATGAGGCAGATACATACACTTTTTATCCAAACCAGTTATTGTTTATTAAGACAGTTGAGAGAACTGCTGTTCTCATTACAGTTTTACATATAATTCTGTTTGACAAATGCAGTAGCTCCTCTAGATCCATCTTGCCCTTTACTCCCACTCACCAGTTCCTGAATATCCACCCTAATTTTATTATACACGATTTCTAACACACTGCCATCATTTCTAAGGAACACCATTCCTTTGTGCAATTGGCTGGGTCATGAATTATAGGTCTGAGTAAGGACAACCAATTCACGTGCTGACCAATAACCAATGATGTCATCTAATGGGGGGGTGAAACAATCATATTTCTTTACTTTTAATTTTAAGTGGGAATACTAAAAATATCTTTGCCAGCATATAGCAAATTAGTACAAGGCAATTACTAAAAACTAGAGTCATATTAATGCTGGAGTCCATCTAGAAGCCTAAGTCTCCTAAAGTTCCTGTTCTTTCTGGGGGCCTACTTATTTGTCTATACCTGCATAGCTGCCAATACACATATTCTCTATAAGAAATCTGAGTATCTATACTTTGAAACCAATACGGCCTAATAAATTCAGTGAGTTAGCTTTATAACTAATGAGTCAGGCATATTCACCTGAATATTTCCTTATTATATTAGGCATTATGATAGTCTATTACTTTCACATTAAATACCTTTCTTAAAATGACTTCTCTGCCTGGAATACTTTCCTTCTCTCATATATTTGCTTTTTTTAAACCTTTCTATTCCTCATCCAGTATTTTAATAGTCTGCCTTTCCTATTAGAATAGGTTCCTTCAGAAGAAAGTACAAGTCTTAATCTCTTCTATATTTCAAATACCTAGCGAAGCACCAACGATGCAGTAGTGGTTCAATGGGTGAGGCTTTAAGATTAAATACAGAATGTCTATTATGTGCCAGAGGGCTGTTTCTTACACTCAAGAATAATGCCAGCATAATTACAGAAATAGATAACATGGGAATATGGAGAAATAAACACCTAACTTTCCCAGGAAGAACTAGGACAAATTTTCAGAGAAAAAAAAAAAAAAACTATAGTACGAAGAAAGGAATTTTTCACTTAGACCAAGACTTCCCAGGGTGAGGGAAAAGTATGCAAACATAGGGAAATATTATAACCTTGTCAAAAAATGCAAATAATCTGTTATAACTGAAATACATGGGAAAAAATAGGTAGGATACAACATGAAAGTTGATAAATTTCAGACTTTTTAACTAGACATTTATCTAGCAAGCAACAAGTAGGAAAGTATTGTGATGGCTTTAGTGACAATACAGAGGACAGGCCAGAAAGGTGAAAGACTGGGAAAAATAAGAAAATCATTTCAATATTCCAAGCAAGGAATTATCAGAGCTTAAATAAAATCAGAAGCAGTAGGGATTAAAAGACATTCATGGATTTTAGAGACACATAAGAGAACAAGTCTATAGGGCTTAATTACAAATGGAATGAAGAAAATGAGGAAGAAGTCTAGATATACAGCAGTCCTACTCAGCACATGAGCAAGCTTGAAGAAGTGGAGCAAGAGAAAAAAAAAGGAAAGAAAAGAAAAGAAAGAAAGGGGGCGCCTGGGTGGCTCAGACGGTTAAGTGTCGCCTTCGGCTCGGG